AATTTCTGCAAGTACAGTTACAAAGAAACAATTACAATTTACTTATTGCTGCTATATCCAACGCTGTTTTCTTTCACTTTCCCTATGTGCTGTGCTTGAACTGTGAGGATGATGAAATTATGCAAATGTAGTACATCATGTCACTGAACTCACTGTGAGCAATATTATCCTCACTGCCTGCAGTAACACCCAGGAAATACTTCTGCTTTCCCAGAGGATGTTCAGCCTGCCTTTTTAGGAGAGTTACTGATCTGTGAGCTACCTCTGTGGAAGTTTTAGGCCTCTTCTTTTCACCATGGCTCTTGTCTGCAGACTGCATGCACAAGTGGCTTTCAGAGCTGCAAACAGCTTCTGGGATGATAACTTACTGGGTGTTGGGCTCATTGTCACACAGTCATGCAGGGACAACACGTGCAGGGACAGCACAGCTAAGGGAGAACATGAAGGGAAAGGAGGAAGGAGCTTCCTTTCTACCACCTGGGTGGAGCTTCCCTTGCAGGTTGCAAGTACTGATCGACTTTGAGAAAGAATGGAGATGAGTCATTTACTACTCCAAGCCTCGTTCACTAGGAGCTAGGAGTGAAAGGAAAAGGAAAGAGAGGCCAGATCCTCTGACCAAAAGACTGGACCTTTTAACGGGAAGCTATCATGCTAACAAGAACATGCATGGCTTCTAGCAACATGAAGGATTAAAAAAAAATTGCAATGGGATGCTTGGCAAAGAATATGATGGTGATGATCCTGATGCATAGGGATGCTGGCCTTTTAACTCCTGAAGTGTCCATCAGTCTTCAAGGTGGGGAGGGTTCAAAGGATGGAAGGAGTCAAAAGCCACACATACTCATTGTGATAACGGGAGCAATGATCATATTCAGAGCTGAGGAAAACCTCTTGGTTGAAGACATGGAATTAACTTAATGACTGGCAATGTAATCCATTGCAATTTATCCTTCTGTGTGTGTCCTTGTAATGACAGAAAACCTGTGGTGTAAAGCTAGGGATAAGCACATTTCAAAACTCTAGGAGGCGGGTGTACTTTTCACTAGCATAATATAAAACGGGGTAATGTTTTCTTGATGTGAGAAAGGAACTAATCATACCATGGAGAAGTATTGCTACAGAGTCATGGGCTAGCTGTGATTTTGTGCATCCCTGAGAGAAAATGGTAGCTGTTAGCCACTTGCTCATGTCTACTTGTTCTTCACAGTCACTTCTCCATGTCCTAGCTCAGCGCTCTTATCATTGCTGACATATTTATTCCATGTCTTAACCTTTCCTCTTACACACCTGCAGCAAGTCTGAATATGAGCTCACATTAATGGTACATAAACTGAGTACTTTGCAACTTTGTCAGTTGTCTAAATTCAGTAATCCATACAAAGCTTGCTTACACTTTATTCCCAAAAGGACCTTAACATCATGAGCCGATGGGTCAGCAGGACTCTGCTGACTGTGAAACAACAGGTAAAGTCTGACAGATCAAGCTGAGGAAATGCTGACAGTGAATTCAGTTTATACCAATGTTACTTCTAATCATTGGCTTGAAAGCCTTGTCTGGGTCACATTCACTTGAGCAGCTCAACCCACGTCCTTCAAAGCCTCTAGCATTCTCTTCCGTATGATCACTGTTATATTTATACTTATTTTCAGTAATGAAACATCCCTGAGTGGCATAGAGTGCAACGTTTGCATCAAGCAGTGATTGTCATTTACGAAGCATGAAACTTAAAGAGTAAAGACAAGGACGGGGCCTCCAGCACACTGTTCCTAACGGAGATGGGATTTAGTTTCTAGAGTGGAGGCAGAAGTTGCTGGGACAGGCTGGTAGGTGTAAATACATTAGTATTTTATTGGCCAGGGAAAAGCAAGCTGCTCTGTCTCAGGGTTCCATTTCACACATCCTTAGACATAATGGATTGGACAAAAAAAAAAAATTTGTGTTTCAGTTTGATCTTATGAGCTATATTGCTGGGATGTCCAAAAGACCATGACTGAAAATAGGAATGACCTTTCAGGCTGGACCTTAGCTCTTCTGGAAACAGCACAATCAATGCAGAGTCAGAAGGGAGGAGGAGGATTGGGGGAGCCTGAACAGCTTTCAAATGACATTTGAAACACAGCTTCAGAGGGGTCAAAAAGTCAACAGGGAAAGAGGCACATCTCTAGCTAAGCTGCCTTACCAGTTTGTGGGACTGCTGCAGTCTTAGAGAAGCTTGTACAGCCTGGTAGAGGGAGGCCAGGAGGCTATCACAGAGGAGCACTTTGCGTCCTCTTTGTGTAGAAGTTGTTACATCAGAAACCCTGCAAACTGTCCCAAAGGGAAACACACCCCTACACCAGCTGCCACGGTGAAACTGAACAAAGAAAATCACGTAACAAAGCTCATCTTCACGGGCAGCTCTGGCAGCTGCTCCACCTCAGCACCATAACCTGGCACAGGTGCTTAAACAGCACTGGTGCCCAGGGTGCAACAGGACCATACACTGACCCCTGTGAAACTGGGCTGAAATAACAACAGGGAGCATGAAGTCAAAGCATTCAGGAGAGCAACATCTGCCTTCTGCTCAATAGAGCTCAAGTGGGACCTCTCCATGCCAAGGGCCCCAGTCTTGCTATCAGCTGAGCACCTTCTTTGCTGAAATGCCTCAATTTTTGTTGACTTTAGTTAGAGCTAAGTGTCTGACAACTTGCAGAATCAATTCATTCATGCTGTTCATTCACAAGCCAATCAAAAACTGTACTTTGCTTTCAGAAACAGGTTTTCTCAACTGAGGCGCCTTCTAATACCATGTTTCTTTTCTAGCAATTTCCATTAGAAGGAAATAGGAATCTTACAACTAATTGTTGTAGGCAAGAGAGATACTTACAGCAAAATGAATTCTTTGTGGTAGTATAATGAACACTGTACATCTGCTTCCTCAATGCGAAAGGCAATTTAGAATAATATGACTGAATTACTGGAGAGCAATGCTAGTAGTAGTAGATTCAATACATGCTTTAAATATATGCTTTAAATATGATTTCAAATAACCTTTTGTTACCGGTCCCAGATTAATCAAGCATTAAAAACGTGTCTCATTTGAAAAGTTTGTCACTAAAAAAATCCACAAACATATCTAGCTATTATAGAAAGAAGATGTGACGAATTTTAGTTTTAGACACTTATTTGAAAAGTTTCAGGTTTTACTGTAGACTACTGAAAGCCAAAAAAACTAAAATGAAGAACTAATATTGTGAATTATTAAGTTATTTGCTAAAATTCATGCTATTTTGTCCTTAAAAGTCTATGGAACTTGAGTATGTGAAGCCCAATATCAAGAATTTGAAATTTTGAGTGTAAGTGACTGTGTCAGCAAAATCAATCACAAAAATCCAGCCTGTGGCATGTGATCATTATGTGTTGTTCTACACTCAGTCAAAGAAGGGCAAAAGAGGTACTATACCTATGTGGCCTAGCTCAAGTGACAGAAAATTAAATAAAATCTAATTGCAGTTACCACAGCACAGTTCCATAAATAAATAGTGTTTGAAAATGAATTCTCATTTTCCAAGTAAACCACAACACTATTTGCTCAAATCCTGTACTAATAGTAACAAAAATTTGTTTGGCAATAATTGAAAATCTCGGTAGACGTTATTGCCTATCAATGACAATGAAGATCTTGTATGGCAGAGTATTAGAAGCTTTAGGACAAAAGCCAAGAATTCACTTTTATTTCTAAACTGGATATTTCTACCTTTGTGGTCTCTCACAAGTTACTTAACGTTTTCTCTTTCATTTCCACATCTTTAAAATGTGATCATAATCATTACTGATTGGAAAGGTCATGACATTGTAGTGATATAAGAATAGTGTTTTAAAGATTAAAGGCCCTGCAGATAATGATTAGTGTCATTTTCACTGGTGACCTCCATTTAGTTATCTTGCCTGAGTAGTAATTCAAAAATCCCAAGGAGCAATTAGCTTATTAGAGAGGAAAACAACATTTTCAAGATGTAACACACAATTGTGAAGGACTATTTATAAACATGACAAACCTCTTTATTAAGCAGCACTACAAACAGTAGTATTTATCACTTATTCTATATTTCTATGGGTTGGCTAAATATATACTTTTGATATACTGTAAATGAATTTATAAAATATTTCAAACAGTATGTGTATGTTCTTGTGGTGGGAAATCAAGAAAAACATTAATCCCCTGCAATTAAAACTGAGCACTTCTAGAGTTCAGTATGACTCCATTTTTCTCCCGGTAAATCTACACAAATAATATGTAGACATTAAGTTTTCATATACACATACTTGAAATTTGGGATCCTTTTCTTTGATTTGCCATACAAAAAGGGCTGCAAACAGGTAAATCACCTTGTAAAGGAATGTCAGTCTTACTGTTAGAGTGGTATAAAGAAGCATCAGGAGAAATGCTTTATTATTTTAATCTAAGACATTTCAAGGTACTCACTAAAGAAATGTGCTCTGAATTTGGAGTAAAAAAGGTAACTTTAGTAACTGCTGTTCTATATAGCATTAAGAAATTTTGAAGAGTATGTCATATTTGCAACAAAGTTCTCACAACTAAATTTGCCGGACCGATTTTTTTTTTTCTAAGTTGTAATGGACCTGCACAGAAACATTTATTAGCTGAGAGTTTGTAACTACTCTTGTACCTGTTCTGGCACTGTTAAAACAGAACAAATAAATTGTGATATTCTCAAGACTTGATTCTGCCACAAAATACATATGCAAACTTGCAAACTGACAGATGGAAGGCAAGGGAGAGCTCCTCAAAGTACTTGAAATAGCCTGCGAATTATCTGCTCATGCAGAAGAGAGAAGCCTGAGACCAGAGCTGCCTGAGGCATTATCACTACAACAGACCCGATTTTCTTCACCCACCCCAGGGGCCACCTGTGGGCTCCCTGTGACACTGCCCTTCCATGAGCCTGGCAAACAGGCAGGTCCTGTGTGCTTCCCCTTGCCTTGCCTCAGATTGCACTGGCTTCTGCATGGTTTGAAATAAAGAACGTCTGCTTGTGATCCTGCCTTCACTTCCTTTCCTCTCTACTGCCTGCTTCTTCTTATTTCTGCTCTATGCCCCTTGCTGGTATCCAGAGGAGACTGCTCTGAAAAAGTTCACAATGGGTAAAAGTGGTGGTAAAGAGAGATGTAGCAGAAACTGAATCCCTCTTTCAAAGCTAAACCATCTGTGTTTTGTACTACTGGCAGAATGCAGATACATTAATAATGACTGCTGATTAAACTTAATTAATCCACAAGATTAATTCCATGGCTGCCTTCCACTCCCCTCTGTGTCTGCCTTTGGTTTTGCAAGCAAATGCATGTACAGTCAGTTCAGAGACAGACAATAAGAAAGCTCCAGCCGTTTGCTCCACTCCTGAAATGCATTTAAAATAAATCCTATATATGCATATATATATACAGTTATATACATACAGATATATACATACATATATGCACGTGTTTAAAACATACACAGATGTATGAGTGTAATGGAAACCATCAGTCCCATCTAGATGATGACTGTCAGAAACAGCGACAATTACACTGTTGTTTGTAGTAACCATGGACTTCACTCACTTTTGACTTTCTTCCTCCTTCCCTCCTTTCCTTCAGAGATACATTTTAAGCTTTCCATGGTTTTCACTGAGCTTACTACCTATCTTTCTAATGAGTTCAGCAAAAAACAAACCAAGACTTGAAACTACTTTTCAAACCAGTATATATAAAACAAAATCCTGTGTGAAATCACAAAAATGTACATATGGGATTGTCTAAATTTTTACTCCATGTTTCAGATAGTTTACTGAGATCAGGACCTACTACGTTCACTTTTATATATGTTATACTCCTGTAACAGTGATAAAATGAAAAAAACCCCAATCCTATTCCTCCTTTCAGTAAACCCATCCAGACAAGGCTTTTGCACCATTGATACATTCCTGATGTTTGATTTACACACAGCACGCATGCACCACATTACGCACATCTCAGAAGTAATCCTGTCATTACAGATTGGCAGCTGACAATTTAACTCTGGCAAAGCAAATCTTGATTGCCCAAAGTAAATCGAATACATTACTTGGAGAATGGGAAATACATGAGAGCTGGGTTGAGCATCCTTTAAATGTAGGCATGTGATTTTAAGTTACAGCATGTATGCATATAATGCATACACACGTATGTACATACATACACATATATATGTATATATATGTGAGTGTGTGTGTCTTCCATATATGCACCATAACTTCCAAGACAGCTACAGATTTCCACATGCATTAAACTATCTAAAAACATAGAACTAGGCAGTCTAATAAGTGGAATTTTCTTAAATTATATTTTAACAATAAACAGCAAGAGTAATACTGCAAAGTACTGCTCTATTATCATGTATATCTACAATAAAATTCTAGGAACAGTTGTCTCCCAAAACATCCCCCAATAAAAGTAAATTAAAAAAAAAGGTAACACCCAGTGTCCTACATTTGTATATTCATTGTCAGTTCAAAAATGAAAAAAAAAAAAACCAAAACAAAAAGTAAACAAAAGAGAAAAAAGACATCCCCACTCAGAGTTGCATATTTACATTCTTCAAACTGTAGCGGTGAAAAATAATTCTATTAAGTGCAGGACATTCCTAGTGTTGCAGTAGTGACATTTTTAATAATTTCTTCATGAAAACATTTCTCTTTGTCTTACTAGTGATGCATTCCATGACTACGTGAAAATTCTATTATCCCCTTCACTTGCAGCCAGTGGTTGAGTCTGGATTGAAAAGCTCCTTGTATAACGGAGGAAACAGTGTGTTCACTATGTCTGGATGAGATTGCTTAAATACCTGCAGTTTCTCTCCGTGCAAGTTGCAAAGTGCAGTAATTGTTGGTATCTTGGCTATTAACTGTAAGACATTGAAGCAAAAAAAAAAAAAAAAAAAAAGAGAAAAGGAAGAAGGTGGAAGCATATTTTGTATAAATTACACTTTCCAAAATGAACTATGTTAGCTTCTTGCTGAGTAACTGAAAGCAATACTTTAAGCTCCATCAAAACCCGCCCACAGGACTAGACATTGCTCTTACTGTGAGAGCCTAGAAACAGCTGCCCCCAAAGTTTTAGCCAAGGGCCAAAAATGCATCTGACAAGGAATAGCTTCAACAAGCACATTTTTAAGGCAGTCACATTCTTTATAGGGTATGAATTAAAATTATTGGTATATTGAACAAAAAATGGAGTAAGAGGCAACAGAGACAAGAGTCAGACAAGCCTCTACACATGGCAAGAACACAGTGCATTTCTTTTCACTTACATTAATGTGGCAATACACACAGAACTGGCTGCAGAAAGAGAAGAGTCATGCTTGAGGACTGCTTGGTGTTCTGTTTAAAGAACTTACCTTTGTCAATGTCTCCTCATCGAGGTGGTTCTTCTGAATAACATGTTGAAGTGCAAAGTAAATCTTTTCCTGAAGCTTCTGGACCTTCCTTGGCTCTATTAACCAGGCTCGATCTGAGAAAAAGGAAAATAAAAGTTAAAGAATGCACAGTTGTGGGGCAGGCTCATGGTGCATACAGGGTACTGTGCTGGCAAGCACCCACAGGAATCATAAATCTCACAGGGAAGGACTGCATCGCATGGTTTCAGAGGCAAAGTGTCCTAACCCATTAAAGGATCACCTGAGCACTTAATTAACACATACAAAACATACAGGAACACAGTGTTGGCTCTGCATCTATTTGTTTATAACAGGATGCTAGGCATCAAGATGGGAATAGAAATGAAACATGGCTCAACATATTACTATTCTCTGTTGGTACAATCACTGTTCTAATTTCATACTGGCTAGGTGATAAACATGTCACGTTATCTCAGTGTTTTAATACATAAATAATAAACTTACTGATCAAAACAATTCTTTGAAAATAAGATAATTATTCAAACATTATTATATCTCATTATTTACTAGGCTAATATTTTGAGAAAAATATATTCAAAATAAAAATAAAAGGCTTTCTTCATGACAATTTTTTCAATAATTCAAAAGAATTGCAAAGTGCAAGTTTCTCATTATTTAAAAATGTTCTCTTAAACAACACAAAATGCAAGATAATCTGGCAGAATAACAGCTACACAACTGTTTTAAAACCTATATGGCTGCTAAAGGACTCAAATCCCACTTGCAGGGGGTTGTCCTTACAGTCTGTATTTTCACAAGTCACAGGTCCTGGAGAAAGCACAAAGAAAGGGAAGTAGCAGACCCCAAGACAACCCAAACCCATTAATACAGTGTGCTTGCAGCACCACTGAACCTTCTGTTTTCCCACACTGCAAACTATTTTTTTTTCTCCCTCAATCCAGACCAATTCGTGGGTATAGATTTTAGCTTTCATATGGGAAATAGGAAAACTTCTTTTATCACAGGCATGAATCTTCATGTACAAATTGAACAATTCAGGAAAAACCCCTTTCACTTTTCTTTCATCCATTCCCCATCATTAAAGTAAGTCACAAAAATGAATTAATTTAACCACTTCAATGAACACACATGCCACACAGGCTGGAACTGAGTGACATTTCATCACAGCAGTAGCACAACTCTGCCATTTGTCTGACTGTCTCTGGGGAGAGGTGTAGGAAAAGAGTTGGTTGCCAAGTACTTCGAAAAGGGAAAAAAAACCAAACCTCAGCTACTTAAGAGATGATCAGGAAAAGAAAACAGTATTTTGTAAACTTTAGAGAACTGTGTTCCCTGAAGGTAAGCCAAGGGATCCGGTGGCATCAGTGGCCAAGGAAACAGAATTAGCTGAGAACACATGCACTTTCTACACAATAAGCTATGTTTAGACTTCAGAGGTTAGGCGCTAAACTTTATGCTACTGCAAAATCTGGTCTTTAAATAGTGTTAAATTAATGCCTATTGTGGCAGACTGGAGCTAGAAACATTTACCATGCAGACCAGCCCCTAAAGGTCTACCTTTCTTCACAAGAATAAGGTTAAAAATAGACTGAGGTGGTTAAAGGACAGGTTCATCACTCACCCATCATGAAGCATTCACATTTCTTAAAATGTGAATTTAAGAACAAGAGTTCTTAAATTCATTACAAGAGACAGGTAAAAAATTTTAACAGATGCTAACTTTGTCTCCCAAAATGTGGTTTCTACCACCTGAACATCATCTGTAAATTTGGCTGGAATTTCAGAGGTAACTAGCTATATTCACAGAAGTGCAAGAAAAAGTCAATAGATCAGTGACCACCTTCAAAGGACACAAGAAGCAGTGATTCAATAGTGTACTTTTCCTCTTGGGTTTTGAACTCCATCTTCAAAAAGTATGCTGTCCACTAGGCTAGAGAACAGTGTAGGAAAGAAGATGAGAGACAGCTCAGAAACAGACAAGATCTGCTTTTGCCAAAAGGAAGGTGGGAAGAAGGAAAATGCCAAGTCAAAGTCTCAGGAGACGGACTGGCACAAGGGAGCAGCCATGTTCCTGTCTTACCACGTGCCTCTTTTCTATGTTTGAAGGTGGAGATGCCTCTGTAGCCTTTACTGGATGTGTACAACATTTCAGCTTTTGAAATCACAAGTCAATCTAGAGAATCACCTTCAAGCAGTGTGGTCATGTTCATCATGAAATGGAAAATCCGGATTTCTGCCCTGAATTAGGTGGATGAGACACTGGCCTTTGCAACCTTTGCAAGACTACTGATGGACGTTACTCATGGACACCCTTCTCAGGTGCCCTTACTCCCAGTGGACTGCTCTGGTTTCTGGAAGGGGCCTAAACACTGAGATGCAGGCTGCAAGAATCACCTTTCAGGTGGCAACTCCTGCAGAAAAGAAACCTGAATACGAATACTTCCTATACGGAATCTTTGTACGCTTGTATTAGTCAATGAAAGGACTGGTGCAGGGACTTCTGTGAAGCAGTGCTTTATTTTTAAATTTTTTAATTTGTTCCCATGATGAAACTCTTTATTGTGAAGGAACCGAACCTTCAAGTGTGGAAGGAAATACTTCTTTCTCTATTGTTTACTATTATTGGTTTTGTAAGAAAATAAATGGCACATTTCAGTATCCGTTCATTCTGGACTATTTTCTCTGTCTTCCCACCTCAAATGTAGCAGCCTAGCTGAAAGGGGAGTTTTTTGAGCAATCGAGGTTTACAGGTTTTTTATGGAAGAAAGATTGCTTTCACCCACGCACTTGTTCCTGCAGCCCATAATTTCCTTCTTGCTGTGTCTTAGGACTAGTTACACATGCTCACACACTACAGTCTGCATGCACCAAACACTTTTTGTCCTTTTAATTTTTTTTTTTTTTTTAGCTAAAACAATGGGAGACATTGCATGTATTCTCTGGCTTGCAAACTAAAGGGATGTATGCAGAACTGCAGAAATTAATCAGAATTTTGATTCCAGCAGCTAGCACCCTCTGCCACCCACCCATCTTTGATCTTTTCAGAGAGAGAGGAAGGTTGGGCAGAGACCCATCGGGACACTGTTGATCCAAAGTCAGGACATCTGGGGGGTGGTGCAGAGGCAGCTCCCATGCCTGCACACAGCTGGGACACCTTTGAGGTGGCAATCATCAATGTTTGGAGGGTTGTAGGTGCAATATTTTGGTGTAACCCCAAGAAGAGTCACTGGTTCAACTACTTCACTTCTGAGCAGACAGTGTCAAGAACTGCTCCAAGTGAAAGGAAAAGGAGTATAGTCCTTTCAGTAGGTGTTGTTAACGATGAGAATGAATGTGCTGACACCATCTGTGACAGTCTAATTCTGACTAACATAACCCCAAACACAGATGTGCAAAAGCACAAGGTGACCTAGAAGAAGTCTTCAGTAGAAAATGTTTGAAATATCATGGTCTGGTTTTTTTTTGTAAGGCATTTTAAGAGGCTAGCCTTAGATGAAAATGTGTATCTATATTGCCTGAGGCATATTTAAAAATCCCACACTAGACTGTGAGCTTGTATACTAGATCCACCTTCTGAGCCAACTTAAATCACAAAACAGACTTTCTCTGTGTTCAACCAGCCATCACTCCCTTAAATGCATGCTTGCCTATGTAGAGTTATGATACATGAATACATGAAAAAGAGCATGTTGCACTTCTAATCACTACCTCTCACCTGGAACTAAGTTCAGACAGGAGTGATCACCAATTTTTACTGTTTGCATTCTCATTCCCAAGAAAAAAGCCCATCATAGTTCTGGACTATATAACCTACTCAGGGTGGTGATTTTTTGCTCCCTGAAAAAGCTAAGAGAAATATGCACCTCTTGAGTAACATGCTTCTTTTCACATGGCCTGGAGGAAGGCTAGCCTGCATTTCTTGTCTGCACAATCCTGCTCCATGTTTGTTACACTTAGGATCTACCTCAAGTGTATGTAATTCCTGATGGTATATTTGAGTAATTCAGGCATTCTTCCACTGCTTTATCCATTACTTAACATTATTTGATGCAGCTTAAACAGCTATTTAAGTATGTAGAAATAGAGGTGGATAAAGAGCAAAAAAAAAAATCAGTGTTTGGAATGAAAAATTACCTGGTGATATCAGAACAGCAGATGAAAACAAGGCAATCTCCTCCTCAGTCAGCTGTAAGGAACATAAATTCTTTGCAAAGTCAAATGCTTCATTTACCAGATCATCAGAACCTGCAGACCAAAGAGAACAAAACCAATGCTAGAAATCAGCTCTTTAACCTGCAGGGATTGTTTTGGTTTCAGAAAAAGTTGTTCCTGAATTTCTGTACTGCTAAAGCAAGTGCTTTTTATTAACTACTGAAATTCCACCGAACCTGAAAATGGTACTAAAATGTACATTGAAGCAAAAAAAATACCACGAATTAGGATCAAGTACAAAAATTGCACAGACATAGAAGAGAGTACTCTTTTTCCTTGCTCTGAGGAAAGAATTGGTATTTCTAAACAGTTATTAAACCTAAAGAGGAGGAAAGACCAGCCCTAAATAACATTCATAGATAATTTCACTAATTAACAGTACAAATGTTTATGAAAATTTGCAAAAGCATCATAAAGATAAAAATAAATCAACCAATAAACATTCATAAATGTTTTAAACTTGTAAAGTAGTATGTTTATGATACACACTAAGAAAAAAAAATATACGATAAATATAGACATTTTAAGGCAGTATTTCTCTTTGAATTTGGTCCTGTATCAATTTCTGATAGTATCAGTCTGATGGATGCACAAAACACAAACATTTCACTATTAACATTTCAGGTAGCACTAAATATCATGTTGAGAAACCAAGTAATTCTTTCAGTACATGAATCTAAATGAGCTTACTTAAAAGTTTTAGGCAAAACAGTATTTTCAGCAAGTTGTACCAGTTAATTATTTTAGTCTCCTCATTGCTGGGGCTAAAATTGCCTTCTGCAGGACACAATTATTGGGAGGGATTTGATACATCAAACATAACTGAACAGAGAAGATAAAGAGCTTGGCTCCTGCCATAAACTCATGACTCATCAAAACTTCAGAAGGCAAAAAAAAAAAAAAAACAACCAAAAGCCCTTGCTGTGCTCTTTTATTAGAGAAAAAACACCTATAATTTCTAGCAGCTAATGGAGTCATCCTTTTTTTCTTTTTCTGTTCCAACCTAGGCATTTGGAGACTTGAGGATTCAACATTTACTGGAGATTTCCACTGTGGATCATAATTCTCATAAAGACAAATTTCCTTGCTATGTGGCTCATTGCAATTTGTTGGAAAAAAGAAGAGCAACATACCCAAAGCTTTAAACATTTGCATCCCTCCATACTTTCCTTCAAACAGAACAGTATTGTTAAGTGGGTTGAAGGCACGGCACATTCTCACCAAAACCACTTCCAAGCAGCCTAGCAGACAGAAGAAAGAGCAAAGGTATCAGGTATTATTGCCTATCAGAGCACAGGAAATATCAAGAAGATATTTACAAAGTCATCAGTCATTAAAAACACCAGAAGACACAGACACTCTTTGAAGACATCTCGATTATACATCTAGGAAGGTGACAAAAAGTATTTCTGTCTGCTTTGAGTATAGAAAGGGGTCATTTCTGGTCCGGTCTAACCATCTTTTCTATAGGTTGACTTTTTCACCTTTTGCAGAAAATTAGCAGCCTGGGCTGGATCTGAATTTAGATCTTGGGCAAAAAATTTCAGTTTGAAATACTTTATCCTGAAAATTAGAAATACTTCTTTTGTCACTCCTAATTTCCAACTGCAAAAATATGCATTTGGAAAAGTGGAAGGAAGAATTTTAACATCCCTTAACTAAATTCAGATTTCCTGTAAGATGAACTCTGAATCTAAGGATTCTTCTGCAGACATGCTTTTGAGAGAAAAGTCCTCATTTTCTAACTCCTGGTCAGTACCAACAGCAGAAGAGAAAATAAAACCTCATATATTTTTATATGCTATAGCTTAGCAATGTTTTCCAACAGCAGAGGGAGATAAAACTTTTCTTGAAGGTGCAGTTGTGTAGTTAGCTTTGCCAGTCAAATGAAATTTCCTGGGGGCACAGTGGTATCTGCAGAATTTTCAAATGACTACAAGATTTAAAAAAAAATAGTTTTTGTGCTATAACTCCCTTTTTCTAGGAGGCTGCCTGAGCGCTCCCTGTGTCTCTGTATCGCTTCCCTTTGCAGCTGTGCCCATCATCAGAGCCCAGTCCCTCACCAAGACACAGTCACGGTGCTTGCAACGCCAAGCTTGTGGGTTTGATTGCCCTGTGGGCCACTTAAGAGCTGGACTCCATGTTCCTTGTTGGGTCCCTTCCACCTTAGAACAGTCTGCGAGTCTGGTTTTGCCACTGAGGTTAGCTCAGTTGGTTGGAGTCTGGCGTTAGTAACACCGGGGTTGTGGGTTTGATCTCTGTTTGGGCTATTCACAGAAAATCTGGCCTCAGTGATCCCTTACAACTCCGAATAGAGTTGTAATCACAACTCAGTGATTTCTGTGTAAGGAGTGCTGAATCACACAGGCTTTCAGCCTTAGTGAAGAGATTGCTCTTCAAAGAGAAGGACTTAAGTTTTAACAAGCTGCCTCACACAGCATCCTAGCTTTTACACATGGACAGAGCAAGAAACTGATATGACAGGGTAAATGTAGTTAATTACCAGTCATGGCTCTTGTGGCTCACTTTGTCGTGCCATTTTGTCCTTCTGGGCTTGGCAGTGTTACTGCACAGTCACGATAAATCTTGTCAGGATTCTTTTGGAGGACAGAAATTACTGAGTCCCTTGATATGAAAGGAAAGCCCTTTTCCCCTTGCCCTTATGCACACACATGCAAACCTGGCATGCAGAGAGAGCATGGCTGGAGCACACTGCTGTAATCTGCTCTCATTTATTCTGAAACCAACTGGCACCAGCAGGAATTTTCCCTCCTGTGCACTGGCTGTAGTGTATTTCTGTAGTCTCATTAAGAAGATTAAAGATGACCACAGAGGCAGGCCCCAGTGATCTTGCCTTCGTTTCATTAATGACAAGTGGGGATTTTACAGGGGGGCAGATGACTGATTAAACCAGCTCAATTTTCAGGCTCCTTCCACCACATGTCATGTTGAAGACTGCAGTTTTTGCAATGGTTGTGTGTGTCTGTGTGTCTGTGTGTGTGTACTTAATAACCACAACTGACTGTAGAGGGAAGGGAATCATAAGGCAGTAACATTATTAAGGTGGAAAAATACAGCAAGGTTAATGTACTTAATGCAACAGACAGAAATTAGGGCTCCTTCAAAATCAAAATGATTTGCAGGAAAATAAAGGAGAGCATATTTCTAGGGTGCTGGGTGCTAAACTAGTCTCAAGCCTCTGGTGTTTACCCACCTGACTTAAGAAGGAGAATTTGGTCATTCTGGCAGAGCTCCATGAAGCCTGTTATGCGCTTTGCAAACTCCACCACATACTGGATAGCATGGGTGATCTGAATGGCACACTGCTGCCACAGAGCTTCTCTCGTCTTCCAGGAGAACACACACGGAAAAGCAAAGCAGTGAGCAAGCAGGTACATCAGTGCATCAAGAAATTCAGGCAGCCTTGCAGACAGCAGCACTCCCCACACTCCACCCCATACCCAGGCACAGCTAGCAGCCCCTCTTCTTCTCTAGGTACCCAGCACTTCTCATTAGAAAGAAGGCTGTTTTCACAAGCCATTGCCCCACTCATCTGAACTCTGGTGTTGCCTCTTCAAAGGAGCAGAATGCAGTGCACAGTGTTAAGGTGTGGTTCTAATGTTGGCTTTTGTGCAGGACAGACAAATAGCGGCACAAAAAATGCACACATTCCACAGCACTCTTAGGCAAGAAGTGGTGCAATGCTATTAATTTGTTCAACAGACTATTTTTCCTAGTTTGATACTTAAAATATATAATTGAAGTATCTGAACACAGATTACATGAAAATTTGAAGTTCCTGATAATAATTTTCCTTGCATACACATGTGGGTAAATATAAATAGATGTTCCTAGTTTCATGCCACAGCTCTGCAAACTGTGGTGTGTTTTTATTACTGCTAATACTGCATAACCTCTCAGATTTCAAAGAACAAGCTGGAGTCTCTCCTGTGTCTTACATGACCAGCTAATGGGCCAACTGAAGTCTGACTGAAGACCCATCACTAATGAAGCCAGTGCAAGAGGCACAGAGGTTTCTGCTGACTCTACTACATCTGGGGACGTGACAGGGGAAAATAGACTGAACTTGACATGAGAATTGCAGGAACAGAAAAAAAAGTAGTGTAATGAGATAATTTTTCCACCCAATATTAAAAAGCTTCAATTTAAGGAGTACTTTCAACTTGTTATTATCTACTGCTGTAAGTGACAGGTATTTGTTATTCATTTAAAAAACAGATGTGTTTTTAAAATTACAAGGAATTGAGGTTTATGTTGGCTAATTTTCTTAAAATCCTTACAATAGAGGATCCAATAATAATCACATTGAAGTTAACAGAATTTGTGCATGAGGTTTAGATCTGTAACAACAAGTACAGAAAACATTACAAAGAGCCCAATATGCTGGAAAGCTGCTGCTTCTTTTTATGAAGTGTCACTGCTTTGCTCTCAGTAACTAGTTCCCCAAAGACAGTGAAAAGTGTATTTTGACCTGTACAAAACTCATCAGTGTATTCTTGCCAGATAAATTACTCTGTTAACAATTTCAAGCAGAAGATAACGCATATTACAGGGTTGTACCTTGCTCTGGTAAACCTTTATTTCTTCATATGTGTGGGTCTGCCACGCTAGCTGATGTAATTCCTCCATTGTATATTGACATGTCTCCAAATGAGACTTAATGATATTCTGTGCAATTCGATCTGTGAAAAAGAGAATAAAAAATAGCTTGCATGAAACAGTGAACAGTGATCTCCAACAGCAAAATGTAGAAAACAATGAAGGTGTTGGAAAATGCACATTTAAAAAATTCATCTTTTCAATGCTGCCTTTCTCATTTGTTTTTAATTTGGAAGTTGATTATTGCAAAATGTTTCAGTATTCAACCCAAAGCCAAATGATCTTGATAAACAGTGGATCTGCAGATGAAAATAACAATGACTTTTGTGAAACTATAAAGAATCTTCACTCTGAAAGTGATTTAATATGTTTAAATAAATTTCACTAGGAGACCCTGTTTACCCAATTGCTTTTGTCTGCCCCAAACCTATTCAGTAACTGGTGGACTCTTCTAGCCTGGAGAAGAGAAGGAACACTGCTGTTGATTACGAACCCAGCAGGGTACCCCTTCAGGCTTTAGGCCACAACCCCTGCATGAAGGCAGAATCTCCCCTCCTGCTGTGTGTAGGTGTTTGCTTTCTTTCCTAACTGTCCGTTTCTTTCTAGTTCTACTACAGGAACTTATCTGCTGAACTCAGTGGTCAGCATGTTTCAGAGCTGTTTCAGTCTCCCAAACTGACTCACTGCTTGAACTTGCCATGAACATTTGCATTACATTGAACACTGCGTGACTCATAAAAGAAGAGTAAACAGGTCTCTTTTTTCTCAAGTTAACTTTAAGCTGGATCATTTTCTGATTGAATTTGATGAGCAAGAACATGGAAGACTGGTTTTAGCAAGGGATAAAAGCTAAAACTAGTATCCTGGGGTTTAGAAGGAGAAACGAAGGACTTAAATCTCACACACAACACTAAGCTACCTTAAAGTTGTCCTGAAATTGCAGCCTTAGAAACTACTTCACAACATGGAATGCAGGATACAAACAGAAAACAAAGCATTTAATGTTGCCCTGGAAACTCACTGAAACTATGAGTAAACTTCTTAGACAAGTATTTTAAAGCAATCCTTTGCCCTTAAAGCCAATTGAGTGGATTAAAAAAAATTCACAAAAACTTCCAGCATGAGTTAATTAGCATTAGGAGTTGAAATGTTGTGATAAAACACGTTACTGAAAACTGATGATTTCCTATTTTGCAACTTTGGGTCCTACAGATCTAATGAAACTCATTGCTTCAGCCTGGAAACTTTGCTTAAGCCAAACAAAGGAACAAAGTTGAAGCCACAGAAGTGAGCTGAAGCACTTGCAGTAGAACCAGCATTGCACAGAAAACATTTGTCAAAAAAGAGAAAAGGACTTTGAAAATGCATTAGCCAAACCTGAGCATGGGAAATAGAAAGAGCTAGGTATACCATCACTCACTTGTTCAGATCCTCAACAGTTTGTGTAGAGTGTAGGGATCTGGAGCCTGGAGTTCCAAAATAAATCTGCCTCTTCGGCCTGAACTGACTGAACTTAGAAACACCAGCAAGAAGAGAAGCCGAAAAAAGAATGCAGAAGTGCATGTTCCCTGTAAACACTGCTGGAGGAGAGCTATTTGAAGGAGAGATGCCTGTGCTACTCACAGTTAATAAACTGAGACTCAGTAGAAAGGTGCTGAAGATAAAATGCTGTAGGTTTGCATAGGAAAAATAAAACCTGCTTAATTGAATTTGTGCAGGTGTCCTTTTATAGGTCAACACTATCTTTAGGTTTCCTAATGGAAGACTTGACTCCAGCCTATAAATAACTAAGAATGCATATTAACAGAGTGATCTACCCATTGCTCTTTTATAGAAGGTTAGATGGAAGTCTTAACCTTTGAGGTGTTGCATTTTATAATCAAAAGGTGTTGCATTTTATAACAAAAATCTTGAAGATAAATGGGCATCTCTCTTACAATAAATGTCTCACACAATTCCACATTACTGCGTAGACAGATTTCTAATCAGATAAAGTGACCTGATGTCAACATTCTGAAAGCAGGACTGTTTGATTTCACTGACTTCAAAATTTATTCAATTAACAGTTCTACATGGCTGCAGAGCTCCTCAGCTCCCCTCCTTTTCCTAGCATTTATGTATTTACCTGAGGAATGAAGAGCTGAGAAGCTCTGCAGAGCTTTCTAGGGATGGCATCCTGTGTTTTACCCCATGCATCTTTTCCTTACGCACTTATGCTTATGCTGAGCTGACATTAAAACCCATTTAGATGTGCAAAGGCCTGGGGCAATCGCAGCAAGCAGCAGCTCTGACTGCTGACATCCAAAGAGGAATCAGGTGCAAGACAGACCTGAAACCCTTGTGCCGCAGGCTAGGCGAGGCTGAGTGCGTGCACGGGCTCAGGGTGGAGGGAACTGCTCATTCAGCACAGCAGCCTGCCTGCTTACCCTCCCTGCTGGAGCCTCTGGAAGGAGCTCTATGCAAATATAGCCTACAGCTGGGTGGCAGAGCTGACATGATGTAAAAAGTAAAAGAAGAATACCCCTGTCTGGGCTTCTCAGATGGTCCAGGAACAGAAGGTCCAACACAGACAGAGCAAAGAATGTCACTCTTAATGAGTTCCACACACCATAGCATTTGTTTTTGCCCGACATTTTCAGATTTTAGCATCGTTTTGCTAATAAAGTTGGAGTCAGTGCACATCTTGGCAAATCCCAAGGAGAATGACATTCCTAAACCACTGGCAACAATATAAATGACATCTGATGTAAACATGTCCTATCACAGGTACAGTCCTGTACCCAAAATATATGAATTTCTGGGAGACCTGGCAGCTCTGAAATAAGCTGACCACCAAGTTCAACAGGTTAGTTCTCTAATAGAACTAGAAAAAATGGACAATGGGGAAAACAGGACAATATCTACACACAACAGGAAGAGAGATACTGCCCTGATGCAGAGGTCCAAAGCCTATGGAGGTACCCAGCAGGGGTGATAATCTAATAAATAGCTATGTTGTCCAGGCTAGAGGACAATTACTTCACATATCAAGTCTTGACTTTCAGTAGATTTTGTTTTCAAAAATCTTGGGCCATAGATTTCAAGGGTCCCCCATCACTGGGTAACTGCACGCACACAACTAGAAATCCTGTTTGGATGAACTCCAGGAACTACAAAAGACAACTCTGTTCTTGAGACTTCAATGTGAACTGCATTTCTACTTGAAATATTGTCAGTTCCCATTTTACATAAGTTACAGCAGGTTTGCTATATGAAAGGGAAAGCAAAAGAGATTATTCTGGCCACACGGGTGTGAGAATCAAAGTCTGCAACATCTTATTTTCTAAGGACTAACTACTCTAACTATTGAGTGAAAATTAGTATTTCTAATGGAAAGAATCCCTGAGCCAGGATGACAGTACACCACCAGCCTGTAAATGGCAGGAATTGCAAAGCTTATCTATCTGCCACGCAGGTAAACACAAATGTGGACTAGATGCTTTACTCCTCCCCGTTTGCCCACATACTGACTTTATTACATTAGGGCAAAATCTCCTATCTGGATCACTTGATACATGAAAATCACAGCATATCCTAGCAGATCTACTCTGTCTGGGAATCACTGTCCACAGAAAATAATGTTCCCAGTATCCAAACTCTGGTATACACTGGGATGGGAAGCATTTGTATTAGGCAGCTTCATTCTATATCTTAGGTATTCTTAGTATTGGTAACTTGACATTTTTTCTTGAAAAGCAAACACTTTTTCTAAAAATGCTCTGCTTCATTGAAAAAAAAAATCTAGAAAGAAGTACTTGCTTCCAGAGAGATAAACCAGAAACAACATAATCAAGGAAATTGTCAATAATTGTACCCAACAGTTTCAAAAACCAGAAACACTCAAACAAAATACATCATGAGGTGTCCACTTACATTTCATTACTGTCCTGCACGTCTCTGACTGGTTTTCTATAATGGCCCACTACTCTAGCTGTACAGCCTCATCAGTTCTTAGAGCACAAGGAAATGCAGATGGTTTTTTTGGCATGGCTAGAGAGCAGACACCTGAGAGGTCAGGCCGGTCCCACTCCACGCAGCACAGGGCATGCTGCCCTTCCTGTAGCAGGGCCTGGTGAGGCCTTGAGAGGTACCAGACCAATGGGTAGGTTATTTAATTGGAATTTACAATGCAGCAGTTAAAAATATAGAAAAGTTCAGTGTATAGTAGGAGATTTCCAGGAAAAACTGAAAATTGTACATCATGAAGCTGAAGAGGACCACAAGAGATCCATGCTGTTTCAGGAAAAGCATCATTTTTACATTTGTCCTGGCCTACCTAAAACAGAAGACAGAATCAAGAGATGATTCTGTGAGGATTGCCCAGCGAAGTGAGCTATGCAGAGAAGTTGGTGCAACAAACCTGGATGCCTTCAGACGCATCAAACATCATCTGCCCCTCCCCTGGGCCCTTCTGTCCCTGGTGTTGGGGTGGGTAACATCCCTGGTCCCTGGTCAGGTCACAGGCACCACGTGAGTGCACGAGGGACTGCTCTGCTCAGTGTCACTGGTCACCAGCCACCGGGGCTGAACACGGGATTGGGCTGTGGCATCCTCTTCTCCCTAAAGCTCTCTGTCTCCTTTGCCTGCTGAGTATCACTTCTCCAAAACTTGCAGGAGCTTAAGTGTCTGAGACTGCTGCTTCACTTCAGTGGTGCTGGGGAGTAGCTAAAGAATCATTGCACAGCCCTGACAGAAGGACTGGGGAGGCAGAGAGACTGCAAAAGCCCTATTTCATCAACAAAACAGGCCAAAAGCATATGCTGCAAGAGAAGAACAACAGCACATAAACTTGGAACTTTCTGTTTCCAGTTCTGTTTGCTCTGGCAGGCTTCACCCTGCCCCAGCCCCCTCTTTTTTATTTTTCTCCTGCTGTAGTTTCCTATTTTGGATTTCAGGAGTTATCTCACAAAAGGCACTCTCCAAAGACTACCAATTGCTCAAACATTTTTGGTAGAGTAGGAATTGCTTAAATACAAGTACATACAGAAAAGTGAACACTGCAACCTAGACAGCAATCAAAATCAGCATACCACAGAGCCACAGG